GAAAAGTGAGTACTTTTGCCATCTCTGTCTATAACATTTAAATGCACCTCTGCAATGTTTAACAGAAAAAAATCAATGAAAATTTTTTAGCGTATGGCCTGCATCACTGTACAGAAGACGGCCATATGATAGCGATATTTACACTGTGCGCATGGCATAAAATTATGCTAACTTTCCTAATCCCTGACAAATAATTTTTAATCTAGGGTTATCTGGGTGGAGGGTAAAATAGCCTTGTTGTTGTTTTTTAGCCTGCCAAGTCGAAAAAAATGTGTCTGATTCGCGCCGGACAAAAATCCCCAGACAAAAATCAAACCATCCCTGTGCAATAACTATATAAAGTTATTGCACTGGGTGTTTACATGGATAGATATATATATATATATATATATATATATATATATATATATAGATGGAGAGAGAGAGAGAGAGTTATCGCACGGGGTGTTTACATGGGTATTTATAGATGGATATTTAAATATAAAGTTATTGAACTGGGTGTCAAATATAGAGAGACAGTTATTGCAGAGGATATCAGATGGTATATTGCACATTATACATTGCAGAAGTTATTGCCGTTGTAGTGTTGCATGGTAGAGTCTGGTTGCAGCAGGGATGAATGATAAATGAGAAACACAGCCTCTTTTTTAGCCACACTTTGAGACATTTCAAACATCCACCTAAGAACAAAAACACACTGTGGAAGAAACTCAGGCAGACAGCAGGAATGTCTCCTGTTTCCAGTTCAGACTTAATATGACTTGAAAAATCAAAGGGAATATTTGACAAGTTGAACATAATGAAATAAACAATAGTTTCTATCGATCCAATTGAAAATGAGATGAACTCTTTAATGCTTTTGATCAGAATCACTGCTTTGCAGCGTTTCATTGGTATGGGTGAGAATGCTGAGCATGCATCCTGTAGTGCTGCACATCCTTACCTGCAGATCAGCTCCCTGCAGCCTGCAGTCCATGTACTTTTCCCACGCATATGACAGGTCGGTGTGCTGCAGATGGGCCATGACTGCTCCTCCAGGGAAGTCAGGGATTCACAGCGATCCTTTTTATCCCCCAGGAGGCTGGAAGCGCCCCGGAAAAAGCCCCAGAGGTTCTCCCGAGTCTTTCATTGCAAATTCATTCCTCACTGCGCCGTTTAGCCCGTTTTAAAAAGTCCTGGATGGAGATACATGTTATGGGATATTAAACAAAAAATATAACAATAATAATAACACATTAGTCGTTACAGCTACTGAGTCTTATAAAGCCGGTTTCAGATAAACTAATAGTTAATCACGGTGCGCTTTAGAGACTGAAAACATCGGTCTAACAATCCTGTAGCACAACCAAAACAAAACGAGCTCGCAGCTAGCTAAAAAGACACTTGACAGAACTAGCGTAAAGGTAGACAGATTTAAAAAAGAAACCATTTCCGCTAAGGACTTTCCTTCACAATAAAAGCATCTCGTGAACACACAAGCCTGGCAAAGGCTTTAATGGCCAACTAAAAATAACTGAATTATTGGTCAACTAATACTGTTTTAAGAGAAAAGTAACGCACATTATTTAGGTTATATTTACATTATATAACTCAATGATACACATACTAGAAATGAACAGCAATGAATGAAAAATGGATATATTATTAAAACAGATAAGTTTTTATAACTGTTGCCCCCTAATGATAGTAACTTTGATTATAATGATCTGACATTAGATGTATGGAGGACCAGTGCTGCCATATTTAAAAATAAATGCAGAAAGAAATAAATGCTCCAAAAAAATAAATAAGCATACAATTAATTGCCCCCCAAAAATACAACAAACAAATAAATGTAGGTAGAAATTAAATTACACAGTGAGACATAAATATATATTTATATATATATATATACAGCTTTTAATTAGCTGCTTTGTTTAGTTGCCTTTGTAATAATAACCTTATTTATTTATTATCCAGTATATTCTTCAACATAAATGTATTACTTATTTCTTTGAGTATTTATTTATGTGCATGTTATAATATTTTTGTCTGGCTTTTTTTTCCTTAGTATTTTTTTACCCTCTTTATTTCTTCCATGCTATTTTTATTTTTGCCTATCGTATTTACATTTCTGTATGCATTTCTGTCTCATTATGCAAATGAGGGAGGCTGTGTCTTTAGGGGTCAACTTCTGCCCATTGGTTGGTTAGCAGCCACCGGCCACAGTCACAACAAACATGGCTACCTACCATGAAGCTGTGGGTGAGCTGAGACATTTAGCATTTATTTGTTAATTGTATTTTTTGGTGGCCAATTAATTGTATATTTATCTATTTTTGGAGCATTTATTTATTTCTGTATTTATTTTTAATTATGGCAGGACTGGTCCTCCATATGTATGTTGTTGATTGAAATTGTGGTTTAACTGTAACAAACAATATATACAATATTATAGTGTTATAATATTTACAATATTATAAAAGTGGTTCCACGATATAATAATGCAGGCTCCAGTGTAATAAAACATGTAAACATTTTATTTCCATGTATCTCAAGTTTTGAGGATTAAAATATTGCTCTGAAGTTTTAATAGTATGTGTATTATGATAATTTATAATCATATTTAGTTGCCATTCAATATCTTAAATTATTTTTATTATGTTATAATAACGTTACAGTAAGGTATTTCATTTTAATTCAACCAGCTATTAGAATATTTTTGTTCTACTTTTCATATTAAATTTTATATTAATTTTCGCCATTTAATTTATTTTACTTTGAAATCCCCTAACTTCCGTTGGTTTAATGTTGAGGCTAACTTAACAGTGATAGACAAAGGCTATGCTGGATAACTATAACGACTTTAGCTCTATATCTTTCTGCATCAGTAGTACTTGTAGTACCGACTAAACAATTCCCGAATTCAGTCCCTAAATTTCACTTCACAGCTCTTTTCAGCTCTTTTGTAAACATTTAAACGCCAAATAATTCACTGCTCGGTTGTTGTATCGCATAGGCTGTTTGTCAACTGTCAGAACTGTATAAAAGAGAAATGAACATATCCTACAGAACCCCATGAGAAAATAATTATGCACTGCTGCTAAGTTGACACAGATATTATATTAAGAACATTTAAATTGAAAGTGTAGACTTTTAAACGTACCTTGGTGAGTGAAAGGCAGCTAGAAAGCAGCTAGACTTCGTTCAGCACTAAGCAGCCTCTGGGTGATTTTACCCTCAGCGTTGGCTGCAAGGCAGCTCCCTCTGTCTCCGCCCGCTAAAAAACTGGAGTTCAATAGTTGAAGGAGGTGTTCACGAAAGCACGAGCCTATAGAATGGTTTTCCTTATTATGTAAGTATTTTTATGCTTATGATGTTTTATACCTACAAGGGCTTATGATTTTATTTTAAGGGTTTTGTTCTACGTGTTCTTCTGAATGTGTCAAATTGTCGTTATGGTTCTTTAATTCTGGATTCTTAAAGAAATTAGACTATTTCCCTTGCAGACTAGTCTAAGGGAACAGCTTTATTAATACTAATCCTTTCTCGTGACGGAGCTCTGTTCCCGCTTCCTATTGGTCAGCGCACAAACCCTATAATCAATGTCGGCATACACATCAGTGGTGCGTTTAAGGAACTTATGTAAAAAATAATTCGCGTAGATTTGGCGTTATGTACGTTTGGCAGACTTATGTATAAATAACACCTCAAACTTTGACGTTTCTGGATAACATGTCAGATTAAAATAGTTTAATATTTTTGTAATGTTTAAAATACCTATAATAATAATAATGAAAACAAACTTTCAGGATCTCTATGATTTAGATGTTCAACTGCCAAACATGTATATACCTTAACCAGTGCATATTGCAGGATAAAGATACTGTTTGAGTGCAGCCTCAGCTGAGGTGAGCCAAAGCAGTTCTCCATGGGGATGTGGAAAACCGCAGCCTCCCTTTGTGGCCACCAAGCGCGAGCTAAAACAACAATTTTCTACAGTGGTGACCATGCCCAGTATAGTTCTTTGTTTTTCATGTTATTGTTTAAAAGATATGTGACAGTCATGGGAGAAAATTAAGGAACATTCAGTTATTTGAAAAATAACTATGTGCCTATTTAAAGCCATTTTGTTATAGAAAAAAAGGTAAACACATGGTGGATAAGGTGCAGGTAAGAACACGTCCTGCTGCAGGAACAAATCCCAAAACCACTACTCATTCAACCCCATATCTTATATATAGTAAGAGGCTCTGCTCCTCAGTGTATGTAAATAATATAAATAAGATTATAATGCAGAGAAGGTTCCACCACAACAGAGACGGTTCCACCAGTGCAGAGAAGGTTCAGCAGCAGAGAAGGTTCCACCACAGCAGAGAAAGATCCACCAGTGCAGAGAAAGTTCCGCAGCAGAGAAGGTTCCACCGCAGCAGAGAAGGTCCACCAGTGCAGAGAAAGTTCCTTGGCAGAGAAGGTTCCACCACAGCAGAGAAGGTTCCTCCAGTGCAGAGAA